TAGTTTTTTTTTTCATGTCGAGTCTATTCTTGTATCTCGCACACACATGGAAATACAGCGTGGAATTTTTGTTTTATTTTCGAATTTGGGTTTATGAAATCGAAGTTGGCATAGTGAGAAAATGGTATTGTTATGGTCCTGTTTTATGTATTTTTTATTTTATTTTTCCATTTTACTTTGACTAAAATCACGCGTATGGATTGTTGACAAAAGCAGAAAAGAATCACGGGTCGTAGTTTTCCTTAATTAATTATTGACTCAAAAAGTTTCTCCATTTCACAATTTTAAAATTTAATACTATAAAGTTACGAGTTATTTATGAAAAAGCTATATACTTTTTTAACGAAGAAAATAACTTTTCTAATCCCCTTAATATTAAAAAGAAGTATAATTAGTTAGAATGTTTATTTGTTTTAATCTTATTGATTTTTTCTAAAAAAAACTATATCTTGTCTTGAAAAAATGTTGAGGTATCTTTGAAAAAATGATATGAATTAAATCTCTAATTATTTTTTTAATACAAATTTTATCACAAAAATTACCATAATAACTTTCCAAAGTTATAATTTATATTTCAAAAATTTGTTTATAACAACCATTTTGAAATTTCTTTTTCAAAGTTACTAATTTTGTTTTCAAATAAAATACTATAAACAATTTTCAGATCCATTTTTTTTAAATTAACAGCCAATTTCATCATTTTTAAAAAATTAATAACCAATAGGAAATTTTAAAACATTATCAACGATTTTATAAACCAAAAATTATTACAATAAATTTTTTAATCGCCTAATATTATAGTCAATGTTATATACAAATTATATTTACACAAAATATATAAACAATTATTGGCTATTGAAAATCAATCCCCTTGTAAATGATAAGATGTGTACAGTGAACTACTGATCATTTATTTACTTTTTTATGGAGAGGAGTATATTAAATTAGATTATAAAACAAATGAATAAAATGAAAATTGAATATAACGTTTATTTCAAAGAAAAATTAATATAACATTTACGAAAAAAATTTATCATGACTAGCTAGAACCAGAAATTATAATATCAATATAGAAAATTTTAGAACTCATAAAAGATTTTTATAAAATAACATTTTAAAAAAGTGGCATTTTAAAAGTAACATTTCTCAAAAATTCTCTAGATATAATCATATAAGTCTGTTTAAATAATACTCGCTCAGTTTCTCTATTTATGATATTTTAGCAAAAGCACGAAGATTAAGAAAAAACTTTTCTTTCAAAAAATTATAAATAAATATATTAATTAAAGAGAAATTTTAAAAAATGCAATTTTTCAAGTGCCACTTTACAAAAATACCACACTTTTGAAATTTTTACAAAAATGCCACTTTTTCAAAATTATTTTTTCTTTATATTATTTATGTTTGGGTTAATTATGTTCTATTAGGGTTTAGTTATAGAGGTTTAGGGGTTTAGGGGTCAAAACATTTTTTAGTGTTTAGAATTTTAAGATATAAAGTTTAAAAATC